CCCACAAATGGAAAGTATCATATTATACAGTGGTTTATTTAGCATCATTTCATTTTTAGCCCAGTTTCATCTCATATTTTGAGTTTACAGTTTCATATCAGATGAAACTATAAACAAGTGTGTGTGTTAGTTTCAGAGGAGTTTCAGTGTAGGTAGCTCCTCCTGCAGCAGATAGAAGACCGTGTCCACCAGTATCTAACCACAACTGAACAAGCAGCTTGGATAAGCTGAGAAACGTTGTTGGGCAAAAATACTTTAGTCCAGTTGACAGAAGTGTATTTCTTCTGTGCTATCTCATTTCTTAAAAGTGTTTTGTTTTTTGGATAGATCCTAAATGACGATGTTTAGCAGTTCAATTACAGCTCACACCAAACTAAACAGAGCTGTGAGTCAGTGTCAGTACTCCTGTCTGTAGTATCATATTCTACTTCAGCACGTTGGACAGCTCCTGCTCCAACGCTCCAGTCATACACCACATTTATACACTGGCAATACTGGTAATGTGTCTTGCCCAAGGACACAACAACAACATACATTTTCTAGTCATAAGATATATACAAAATACAGCAAAATACACCACCTGAGGCATTATTTTAAAGCTACACCATGTAACTTTCTGAAGGTGGGATGTCACTTGTATGATTGCATGTAAATAGAAAGTTAAAACTACACTAGGGAACATTCTCCATGGAGATAAAGAGGTTTCTGTCAGACTGAGGAAGACGATAAGCACAGGAACAACATTTCCATGGAAACAAGAGACTTTCCTCCAGGCCAAATAAGAGTCAGGTTTGTGGAGATGCAAGACCGCTCACAGTAAAGACATGTGTTTCAGAGCAATAAAAACATCCATAATGAAAAAAAGAATAAATAAATAAATACATTTTTAAAAAAGCTTTTATTTTACTCTTTCTTGGGAGGCAAAAAAGTGACATAGTGCGGCTTTAAAGGGTCCACATTATGTATGGCACTTTCTGATCTATGTTATAATTGTTTATATAAATATTCTGTTTCATTCACAATTATTTAACCCACAAACTCTGCACATTTAGGCTGAGTTCTTCTCTCAAACAGAAAACACTCTGTTTCACCTTGTGATGTCATGTGGTAGTACAGGAAGTGTGCCACTGTGTTTTTAAACCCATACACTTTCTCATTAGAATCATTTGTATAATTTCACTCCGTCTCTACTGAACTAAAGGTAAAAAAGTATCTGCTCACTTGAAAAGCACCACTACATGAAATCACAGAAGCTGCAGCAATATCTTACAGCTTCTAGGTTCGTCCTAGTCAGGCTGTCACCACCTAGTGCCTCTGCTCAGTTTTATAACGGACTGTTACTCCCCAACACTGGTTTTATTTCTCTCCAGCGACTAGATCAGGAATCAGAATACACTGGACAGGTCGCAAAAACTCTGGAAGTGTGAGTTCAGGCACCAGCCAATCAGCGAAGAGTCATATATTGAGTGTTGTCAGCGGTTCCCGAGATCGAGGATTTAAAGCCAGAACAAAGAGAATGTTTGGTGAATTTCATCAAGGGGAAAGACGTTATTGCCCTTCTTCCTACAGGATTTGAGAAAAGCTTAATATACCAGAGTGACAAAGTGGGGCCTTTGTCACATTTCATATTCACGTTAGTTTATTTTAAACATTTTGATTTTGAAAGGCGACTTGCTTTGCTTTGGGAGTTACCTGGATACTCACCTGGGGGAGGTACTTCCTGCTGGGCGGAGTATAAAAGCAAAGCAGGTGTCACTTATTAGGAAAAGACTTCTGTGCAGGTGTTTGGTGCTTTTGCTTTGAGTTACTTATTTTTTGTCTATTTGTTCTTTTGTTGGTGAACTCCAGAAGTCTGTTTTTAAAATAAATGTTGTCTGCATAAAGACACTTTTTTTGTGTCGTCTGCCTCCTACTTTGACCACTTTGACCAGCTTCCCCACAGCCAGTTATCCCCGTTAGTGGCGCTTTACATACGTGACGACCAAACAGCAGCGATTGGTTAAATGATAAAAAGTACCTGCCTACCGTCGAGCGAAAGAATCCTAACACTGCGAGGACAGACGGATTCTGGGAGGTGACACCGGCTGATGAATCAGACTAGGATAGTCTAATTCCACACAATCAAAACAAAGCAAGAGTCTGAATTTCATTTAATCTCATCCCACATATGTTTTCTTTTTCCAATTACAAATTTTTAAAGTTCGTTTTACGTCTTGCACCAAGTTACATTTCAGAACTTTTAACCCCGTACGAGCCTTAGATCCTCAGGCAGGTCTAATTTCTTTTTATTTCATTTCTTTTTATTTATTGATTTATTTTAATTAACTGAATATTTTGCATCATTGTCTGTTTTTGTTTCTGTTTTGATGTTTTTTGTATTGTTCGTTTCTGCTTGTTCAGCACTTTGTAAACCTTGTATTTAAAAGTACTTCATAAATAAAGATGTATTATTATGACCAGTGTTGGGAATGTTACTTTTAAAATGTAATCCCCTACAGATTACAGATTACACACACCAAAATGTAGTTTGTAACGTAATCCATTAAATTACTTTAAGTGAGTAAAGTAATCTGAATACTTTCGATTAATTGATTTGCTGTAGAGAAGCAAAGACGAGGAAATCTTCACATAAGAAATTTTGTCTGCTAAAAGAAAATAAAAAGCCCAAACTTTACTTAAGTAAATTAAAAATATTATTGATAGAAGACGAGGAGACACGTCCACGCAGCATGGTTTAGTCCTGTTAAATCCTGGTTTAGTCCTGGTTTTAGTCCTGGTTTATTCCTGGTTTTAGTCCTGGTTTTAGTCCTGCTTTAGTCCTGGTTTTAGTCCTGGTTTAGACCTGCTTTAGTCCTGGTTTTAGTCCTGCTTTAGTCCTGGTTTAGTCCTGCTTGAGTCCTGGTTTAGTCCTGGTTTTAGTCCTGGTTTAGACCTGGTTTTAGTCCTGGTTTTAGTCCTGGTTTATTCCTGGTTTTAGTCCTGGTTTTAGTCCCGCTTTAGTCCTGGTTTTAGTCCTGGTTTTAGTCCTGGTTTAGTCCTGGTTTAGTCCTGCTTGAGTCCTGGTTTAGTCCTGGTTTAGTCCTGCTTTAGTCCCGCTTTAGTCCTGGTTTTAGTCCTGGTTTAGACCTGGTTTTAGTCCTGGTTTTAGTCCTGCTTTAGTCCTGGTTTAGTCCTGGTTTTAGTCCTGGTTTAGACCTGGTTTTAGTCCTGGTTTTAGTCCTGGTTTAGTCCTGGTTTTAGTCCTGGTTTTAGTCCTGGTTTAGTCCTGCTTTAGTCCTGGTTTAGTCCTGGTTTTAGTCCTAGTTTTAGTCCTGGTTTAGTCCTGCTTGAGTCCTGGTTTAGTCCTGCTTTAGTCCTGCTTTAGTCCTGGTTTTAGTCCTGGTTTTAGTCCTGCTTTAGTCCTGCTTTAGTCCTGGTTTTAGTCCTGGTTTAGACCTGGTTTAGTGTCCGGCAATGAATGGAATTACCAAAAAAAAAAAAAAAAAAAAAAGAAAGGGTTATAGCCCAAAATGTGAAAACAGGAAAATACCACCATGTAATCCATTTATTTCAACCAAGTAACTGTAATCCAATTACCACTCACTGAAACAGTAACTGTAACTGAATACAGTTACTCATCATTTGTACTCTGATTATGTAACTCCAGTACATGTAATCTGTTACTCCCCAACAATAATTATGAACTATCAGTGTCAGTCGCTTGTAATTCTCATAATAATAATAATAATAATAATAATAATAGTGTGTGTGTGTGTGTGTGTGTGTTCAGCACCTTGGACAGCTCCGGGTCCACCACCCCCTCTCCCCTCTGTCCTTCCCCCGCCTGCCCGTGCGCACAGCCGGGCTTTGGGCACGAGAGAACAGCCCCTCAGTGCGATATGACAGCGAGTGTGTATGTGTGCCATTTTATATTTATTTATTTTCTCTTTTTTTTTTTCTCTTCCAAGCCATTCCGGAAGTAGCTACTGCGCTCAAGCCAACCATTTCGGGGAGGGAAATCAGCGCTAGAGAAATCACACCATCGCCTCTCCGATCCACAGATCAATACAACACTTCTGGTGCGTAAGACACGTCTCCACTCGTGTTTTTCTACGTTTATTTTAAGTGAGATAAAAGCGCACGGTGCCTTTCTTCCATACCTACCTCTCTCCGTGGACGTCGTGGTGGGTTTTTTTCGGGGTACGATGTTTTGCTTTGCCGAGAATCGCTTTCGGATGTCGCGCTGAGATGGGACGCGGGTCTGAGCTGCTCGCGGCCGCTGCTCGGAGCCGCTGTTGCCTTTTTGTACCACAGTAGCCCCCCTCAAGATGCGAAAAGGATGGATTTTGTTTTTCGCGTGGATGCGGTGAAGTGGTGGAGCCTTCGTTGAGAAATGGTCTGACACCCGGAATGCTATGCGCTAAAGAGACAATAAAAAGACATTGTTTATTTGAGTCTTACGCGAATTTCCAACTGGATTATGGTTGTAGACACGAGCTGCAGGTGCGATCGCTCGGATGGCGTGTCTTTTTGGGATTTTAAACTGTTTTTTACGCGCCGCTTTCGTCTCATCCACTCTCTCCACGTCTTCTGCTTTGGGTAGCAAAACCATGTAGGCTAGTCTCTACTGCAAGAAGAAGGAGCCCAGCGCTAGAAGAAGAAGAAGGGAGAGGAGAGAGAGACGAGAAAAACAATGCGCTGTGCCAAATGGTGAAGGCGAAATCACGATTGTAGCGGCTGCGCTGGAGATGCCGTGTCAAATATTGGCCTATTGCTTGAATTGTTTGGGTAATGGAGATTAAAACCGCGCTGTCCGAGCCGAAATGGAAAACAATTGATCCGCATTGGTTTGGACACACATGCCATCACTGAGGCCTGTTCCCCATCATTTCAACACAGACTCTATGAATCCAAATAGATTGTGATAGTTCAAATAAACCGACACACAAAGGAAAGGGAAGTACGTGTGTTTAACATTTCCAGATCGCAGTGAAGGCGTCATAGTGCCCGCAAACCCAAAAATGTTCAAGTATCGGATCCGCATGTTTTTCAATGAACTTAAAGTGCTGGTTTTTATGCGCTCCGATACACGACAGTCCGACACAGAGAGGCGATCCAACGGGAACAACACCAACACCACCACCACCACCACCATGCGCGATCTGGGGCTGGGGATGGGGGACTGTGGCTGCATGCCCCCCTTTGTCGACTGCCATTCCCGGGATGACGAGGAGGAGTACTACGGGAGCGATCCGCGGCCCCGGAGCTTAGCCTTCGAGGATAAGGAGCCCAATAAGCTGCAGGTCGGCCTGGATGCGGTGTCGCTAGCCAGCACCGCGAGCAGCCTGCGCACCCCCCAGTGTAGAATCTGCTTCCAGGGCCCAGAGCAGGTACGGAACACGCTCCTTTTCTCCGGATTTCTCGATTTTTCACTACTTTTACGCACAATTTGGCGCTGTTCTTCTGGCTCAGTGAAGTCACGATGTTCACCTGTTTATGTCCTGGTCTAGTTCTGGTTTAGTCCTGGTCCAGTCCTAGTTCTGGTTTAGTCCTGGTCCAGTCCTAGTCCTAGTTGAGTCCTGGTTCGGTTGATGTGGTGTGGTTTCACTCACGCTCCTTTTCTCCATATTGTTGATCATCCAGTCGGCCTATTTAACATTGTTACGCACAAAGTGGCTCGACTCGGTCCTAGTTTAGGCTCTTGAGTCTAGACTCGATGTACCTGTTTTCCACCTTTTAGTCTTGGTGTAGTTCTGGTTTGGTCCTGGTCTGTTCCGGTTTAGTCCTGATCTAGTCCTGGTTCCGTGGTTAGTTTTGATGTGGTGTGATTGGAAATGTTTGAAGAGCAGATTTAGACTATCACAAAACATCTTCATGATCACGGCCTATTTAATCTCTTTACGCACAAAGTGGCTACGTCCAACCCCTTTTATTCTAGTCACAACGTGCACCTGTTTATGTCCTCTTTTAGTCCCAGTTTATGTCCCGATTCAGTCCTAGTTTAGTCCTGGTTCAGTCCTGGTTTACTCTTGGCTCAATTCTTATTTAATCACAAATTCATCCAAGTGTAGTCCTGGTTTAGTCCTGATGTAGTCCTAGTTCAGTCCTGGTTCAGTTCTGGTTTAGTCCTGGGTTACTCCTGGCTCAGTTCTCGTTTTATCCCAAATTAGTCCCAGTTTAGTCCTGGTACAGTCCTGGTTTATTCCTGGTTTAGTCCTGGTACAGTCTTGGTTCAGTCCTGGTACAGTCCTGGTTTAATTCTGGTTCAGTCCTGGTTCGGTCCTGGTTCAGTCCTGGTTTAGTCCCAGTTTAGACCCAGTTTACACCCAGTTGTGATGTTGTAGTACATGGGACAGCCGTGTACTTTCCGTGTACTTTCATTCTACCACTACTTGTACTTGTATACTTGCTTGTATACTATAAGAAATCTTCACATTACTCGGTGTTTATTGCTGTGTAAAGATGTTTAGAGGCACAGATTTAGCTTCCTGAGCCACTCCATCTCTCCCCCTCCCACTCGTTCTTCTGAAGAAAACAGCCCGGGCTTCTGCACAGGCCCAGGATCAGCTTCTGGACGTGGGAACAATTTGGGTAAAGTCTTGAACTGAGACTTTCCATTTCTGTTTTAATAATGAACACGTCGAGAAGAAAAAACACTCAAATCTGAACTGACAAACAAATACATGAGTCACACTTCAGAACATGTCTGTACAGACTTGATTTAGTCCTGGTTTAGTCCTAGTTTAGTCTTCCTTTAGACCTGTTCAGACCTGCTCGTGTGACATAAAAATGGTATAGTGTTTGTATCTAGGCTAAAGAGAGAGAGAGAGAGAGAGAGAGAGAGGAAAGAGAGAGCGAGAGGGAGGGAGGGAGAGCGAAGGAGAGAGACAGTGTGAGAGTGATAGAGAGGGAAAGAGAGAGGGAGAGGGGAAAAGAGAGAGAGAGAGAAAGAGGGAGGGAGGGAGAGAGAGAGAGAGGAAAGAGAGAGTGAGAGAGGGAGGAAGGGAGGGGAGGGAGAGAGTGTGAGAGAGAGTGTGGGCGTGACAGAGGGAAAGAGAGAGGGAGAAGGAAGAGGGGGAAAGAGAGAGGGAAGGAGGGAGGGAGAGAGGAAGGGATGGAGGTAGGGAGAGGGAGGGAGAGTGTGAGAGTGATAGAGAGGGAAAGAGAGAGAGAGAGGGAAGGAGGGAGGGAGGAAGGGATGGAGGAAGGGAGGGGGAGGGAGAGAGTGTGAGCGTGATAGAGAGGGAAAGAGAGATAGAGGGAGAAAGGAAAAGACAGAGAGAGAGAGAGAGAGGAAGTGAGAGTGATAGAGAGCGTGAGATGGAGAGCGAGGGAAGGGAGAGAGAGAGAGAGAGAGAGAGAGAGAGGGAGCAGCCGTGGACGTGGGGTAGTGATCTAAATAACGCTGTTTTAATGAGATCGTGGCAGAGCCCACTCATCTGAAGCGTCGCCAGCGTCGAGCTTAGCAACAAAGAAAGTTCGCCAAAAATGTCCACGGAAGACAAACAAGAGCAGCGTTTTGGACACAATCCACTATTGTCTGTAGGCCTACACTAAAAATATATCCAAATGTGCCATGTGGATCCATTGATTCAGTGATTCAAGTGGATTCAACATTTCTTTCCTTATCGTGCACATGTCACTCAACACATGTCACTCAACACATGTCACTCAACACATGTCCAGGAACACACTCCTGCTCATCTTAAAGAGGGATGTCACACTCAAAGAACTTTTTGGAGCTTTCTAACGTGTTATAATGTTGTTCCCTCATTAAAAACACACCTGAAGAGGTTTTAGACTTTGGGTAATTTAGCGACCTCTCCTGGGTCCTATTCAAACTCTCACCCATGAGTCTACATCTCCCATGCTCCCACACAACACTTCTACACAAATGTACAACAACATCATACATAGTGTAATAGTTTTATTAGCAGGATACAAACAAACTAAACAAAAACTAAACAAAAACAAAACATATAAAACCTGTTAATATGCTGTTGTAGGAAAAGTGGCATGTGTCTTTTTGGGGTCAGGCAGAAATCCTGTTATTAAATGTAAGATTTTGTGGGCTGGTGGATGAGTGTAGAGAGCTAAAGGATCTTCACACTGATGCAAAGGTGAGGGGTTCAATCCCAGTCTGTCTGTGTTGATTGTTGTTGTGTCGTTGGCAGTGTGTGTGTGTGTGTGTGTGTGTGTGTGTGTGTGTGTGTGTGTGTGTGTGTGTGTGTGTGTGTGTGTGTGTGTGCTGGTGATGGTCAGAGGGGCTGATGGAGGAGTTTGGCAGCCTCTGGTCCATCTGTTCCAGGGCAGCTGTGGCTACAGAAGTAACTTTCATGCACCTGATGTGAGCTGAGGCCAGGGGAGGGCAAACTTTTAGGCTCGTGGGTCAGAAAAGGTTCTAAAATTTGAGGGGAGGGCTGGACCAAGAGAAGATTGATGAACTGGAGAGAAAAAAATCACATAGGATATGTAGAAAACCTGAGCTTGAATTTGAATAGAAAGTCATTACAAAACATTACAACAAAATATCCGTCTTTCAGATCCCACAGTCTTTAGTATTTATTGAAATTACTCTTAAAACACTGGAAATTAAATGAATAAAATACTGTTTTTTTTGTTTTTGTTTATTACTAACAGTTACTATATTAAAGCACTGAAAGTTCTGTCCTCCTGACTCTTTATTTCAAAAACAGTAGAAGATGCAGATCTACTTCTATTCAATGTGCGTCCCCAAAACTCAACAACGACCAACACAAGGACAGAACAGTGTCAGCGTGCCAGTCTGTCAGTGTGTTATATTTGATCTGGTGTGCATTGTTTATCATGAGAACGTACGTGCACATGCACACCACTCACGTGCACACCTTAACAGAAATGACATGTAACACATAAATGCATTTTTACATAACAGCCGAGAAACTTACATCTGATTTCAGTGGATCAATGTTGTTGTGTTCCTCTTTAGCCAGTGCATCAAAGTCTGGAGTTAGTTTTGTTGTGGCAGTTCTCAGGATGTGTTCATGTCGAGTTGGAATGATTGGAAAAGTGACTTTCCCACTGGGAAAATTCACATGAACGCCTCCTCATGTCGACCCCAACCCCAACCCCAACCCTAACCACTGCAAACAGACCAAGATGTGATGTTTCTGTAAAGTCACAAGAACAAGAAAGTGCAGCTCAGTCTGTTTGTCTTCTGCACCTCTCACTTAACAAAAAGGATTTTGCTTTGATGACTCCACATACAAAATCTTCACTGCAAACTCGGGATGATTTAAGCAGTCAAAGATTACTTTTTTGGTCCTTCCTGTGGATCAATCCTGCCCATCACCTTCACCTTTCATTATTTTTCAATTCCGTTGGGAAGAGAAACAGTTTGAATGGAGGTTTGAGTCACACACATCTGATTCACTTTTGCATTTATGGAGTTCGCAAATTTTTAAAGCCCATTTCTCGAGTCGTTTTCCACTGTTAGAACATCCAACAACCACACAATTACGATGTCCGAATCCCAAAACTAAAATATGACAATATCAGAATCAGAAACAAAAGTGAAATGGTCAAAAGACTTGAAAAGATCGGCTTTGTCAATAGACACATCCCACTGGGAAAACAAACATGGAGGTTTGATGCTCACTTTTTCTGAAAATCCTTCCCAGTATGAATTGCACAATGACTGGTAAGTCCGAGATTCTTGATACATCTATACACCGCACCTCAACAAAGCTCAGTGTATCTAGAGTGCGTCAGGAAACACCGGACTTGCAGGAAAAATAAACCATTAACAAAGTTTATTATAATTTATTCAAGTTCAGTGGGCTGGATTAAAAGGTTTAAAGGGCTGCACACGGCCCCTGGGCCATAGTTTGCCCACTCCCTGACTCACGGTGAGCAGGTTTTCAAAATGAAACACTGGGACGTCCCTGGTTTGGGGCGGCTGGGAATAAAACTGAAATGAGTAACGCAGAATTAAGGAAAATTGTTCTGCACTTGGCACTAATGTATCTAGTCCTGTTTTAGTCCTGGTCTAGTACCTGTACAGTCACATGTATAAAACTAGGACAAATCACTGTTTATATATATCTATCTATATCTAATCTATATGTATATATGTGTATATATATATATATATATATATATATATATATATATATATATATTATATATATATATATATATATATATATATATAGATATAGATATATAGATATATAGATAGATAGATATATGCTTCTGTCTGTCCAAAAACATCTCTAAGTTGTGTGTGAGTGTGTGTGTGTGTGTGTGTGTGATGTGTGTGTGTGTGTGTGTGTGTGTGTGTGTGTGTGTGTGTGTGAGTGTGTGTGTGTGTGTGTGTGTGTGTGTGTGTGTGTATCATGTCCAGATGAAG